CGCTTGCTCGAGCACAAGCGGCGGGACGTCTGGTATCTGGGGAAGATCGGCCAAGGGTTCGGGGTCGTCTCTTGTATAGGTCGATGAGTGGTTCGCCCAGGGGTCAGGTGAAGGCTGGCCGGGGGAAGCGCTGTGAGGGGCGGTGTTGGGAGTAATGGGAGGTCTCAGTCCTGGCGAGGGTGATCGGCTTCGAGGCCACCTGGGTGTGCTGCTCTTCCTTCTAGGCCTGGGCTCATAGCTCGGTGTCAGACCTTCGATTGGCGTGGCATCGTTGCCCCAAGTCCACGGAGATGCATTCGCAGCCTGTCCGGGGTCAGGGGATGTCCAATCGCCAAAGGCATCGTCGTCGAGCCAGGCTGACTGGCTGGAAGGTAGGTTCAGGTTGCTCGGGGTGGAGAGGAAGGCGGGTGGTGGAGGTTCGATGATAGTCTTGGAGGGACTGGTGGAAGGCGCATTTGTATTGTCGGTAGATGATGCCCACGGGGAGCCCCATGGATCGTCCATTGTGCGACACTACAATTCATGATGCTGAGGAAGTCGATATGAGGAAGTGTGCGGTCTTCCGCAAGTGAGGTTGTTGCGATTGAGGGGGCAGACTAGATAGCCATGTTATTGTCTCTTGAATTCGCGAGCCGCGACTCGGTTGGTCGCAGAGCGATTCCCCAAGCTATGCAACAGGAACAGAAGCGAGACTGGAACAAAGAGGGAGTTCCAAAAGCGTGAAGCGGATGGCGTTGTCTCAACGAGTGGACGCGCTAGTGTCAATGAAGAACTCGACAGTAAGGACAAGCTTCGCGAATTGAATTGTTTAAGGTATGGACAGAAAAAGGGAACGGAGATTGCGAGATTTGAGATGGGAGATCAGACTGGGAAAGGTAAGGGACGCACTGATTGTTGCAGGCACGGAGATGGAGACCCAGAACCAAGTCCAGAACCAGAAATGGCATGCAGTTGCCAGACGACCTGACCCCGTCGTGGATTCCGGACGTGTCGGAGAGCGTCTGTGCGCGACCAGTAGCCCCTTCAACTTCAACTCACTGCGTGTCTGGGATTGGAGCTTGGCGTTCTACCGGTGGGTCCCACGGTTCCAGCCGCGTCCCTTCCCCTTCCCCTTCGAGTCCATTACCTAAGCACGCTAAGTAAGGTACGGGCTGTACGCACTCCATTCAATGACCCGACGTTTAGCCACAATGAAGTAAAATACTTTATCGATAGGAAAAGGATCACAGATAAGATAACATACCTAAGCACCCAGAGCCACAGCATTCCATTCGCGCCGATTGCGGATGACAGCATGTGAGTGAGTTGAGTGTTGGAGGGGCAGACCAAAAGTCCATGGGATGCCATGGAATTATTCTAGAACACGTCAAACGTTACCAACAGTACCATCCATGATCTACTTACCTAGCTATCTCCAGAGTCGATCACTTCGGGCATAGGTAGACAAGACTTTTACTCACGGCCAGAGGCAAACTTTCCCCTTCCTTTGGCTTGGTCGTCTTTTTTGTGCTTACCAACCCCGCGGGCTCACACAGTCACACTGCCATTGGGTGGGGAACAAGCATAGCTTGATTTCAAATGATGCCCATTTGACTTGCTCTTCAACCTCACCTTCATCTCTGGTGACATAGGTACCTTACTTACTCGGTGCACTTCGCTTTTCCGACGACTTCTTCTATGCAGCAACTCTCACTCCCATACTTCAAAAGATTCCATTGTCATCAACATGTCGCTTTCTAAAGTGAAGCACATCGTGCTGGTATGACCCCTCATTTTTCTCTCCGTGTAACTGAATGCCGACTGACTGGCCATGTAGGTCTTGTCGGGCAAAGGCGGTGTCGGAAAGTCTTCAGTGACGACGCAACTGGCCCTATCCCTCGCGCTCGCAGGGCATTCTGTGGGTGTACTCGATGTCGACCTTACCGGACCTTCGATCCCTCGCATGCTGTCGATTGAAGCAGAGAAGGTTAAGCAAGCGCCCGGAGGCTGGCTCCCCGTGCCTGTCCATGACGCCGTCGAAGAAAAGGGTATCGGCTCATTCCATGCCATGAGTCTCGGATTCCTTCTGCCCAGACGCGGCGATGCCGTTGTCTGGCGCGGACCCAAAAAGACGGCCATGGTCCGGCAGTTCCTCTCCGATGTCTTGTGGGATGAGACGGACTATCTACTCATCGATACGCCCCCGGGCACCAGCGACGAGCATATTTCCCTTGCCGAGACACTGCTGCGAGATGCTCGGCCTGGCCAGGTCGCGGGTGCCGTTGTAGTTACGACACCACAGGCGGTTGCCACGGCAGATGTCAAAAAGGAGCTCAACTTTTGTGTCAAGACCAATATCAAGGTTCTCGGTGTGGTTGAGAACATGAGCGGCTTCGTCTGTCCTCACTGCTCAGAGTGTACCAACATTTTCAGCTCTGGCGGAGGAGCCGTCATGGCCCAGGAGTTCTCGGTACCATTCCTCGGCACCGTACCCATCGATCCTCAGTTTGGCGAACTTGTCGAATCCGGCAGGAGGCCGCAGTACCCTCAAGGGACGCAAATCCACGGTCAGGATATCGGCCAGGCCGAACAGGAGGGCGAGACAAAGGGCGACACTCTTGTCGAGAAGTACCAGGACTGTTCGCTGTCTCACATCTTTAGCGACATTACTTCCAAACTCACAACAACGGTAGAGGCACAAGCACAAGCACAGTCATAAGCAAAATGAGCCATCTACGGATACAATGTCAACTCAAGGAGTAGACGACAGGCTCAGTATCTGCACCGTGCCGCAAGTCTTTACCCCTGGGGAGATGAAGAGGACGCTCGGCTTGGTGCCCAATTCTAGGCACACAACGTACCGGGGGTTGAGAACAGCCATAAACCCCACGACGGTAATAACTGTGAGGTACAGAAACACTGGGCATGGCGAAGTCAAAGCAGCATGCGAAATTCCAGCTCAACACGCATCTGAGGGATACTAGGGATTTCTAGAGACCGGACAACATACAAAACACCATGCCCGCTCCACGCTGACCGGGCCCGACTCCGCTGTCGTTGACGAAATCCGATGGGCGGCCCAGTCATCGATTCGCAGAAAGGTTGGAAGCACGTGAGGATGCATCGAGATTGGTGGCATCCCGGTGCCTCGGACGGGCAAAGCCCCGCAAAACATGGCGGTACCTGTCAATCAGGTACCTTGCTTAAGCCGCTGTCAAATCCCTGGTACTGCGCAAGAAGCCGCAAGAAGTTGAAGCACGATGACTTTCACCGCATGTCCCACCACTCGTATGTATTTACCGGATATGGTATGAGGAAGAGATGCATTGCCTTTTTCTATCAACTGGTCCTTACAATGCGATGCATCGCGATTCGAGCCTATCTATCTCTCAGAATCCTTCACATTTGGTGACTTTGCTGTGCTTACCTTACCTACGTAAGTGTATCCGTACAAGTTACCCCTCCATGACAGGTGGTGTTAATCTTAGGTCCAGGCCTTGGGCTGCGGAAAATGACGTCTGAGTCCCGTTCTTCAGCGACACGTCCCCCCCTGCAGTGTATCTAAGCCACCAATGTCTTTCCCTGTCTGAGCTGTCTCGCAACCTCCAAGATGTCTTTTCCGTCCTTTCCCGGGCATAGCTCTCCACTGGCAAGTGAGTTCAATTGACTACCTACTAATACTACCTTACGCGGCGCGATACTTCATATGGTTTGCAGCAGAGTCGAAGGTAGTGGGAAAGGAACAGGTGTTTTTTATCAGCAGGGAGACCTTGGGCATTCCCAAAACGGCTCTCTGCAGCGGACAGTCGGTCAAGAAATACCGCCAAAAAAATGTTGCCATCTGAAAAGTGCGCAAATGGAAGTATCCGTGAGACCTGGACTTGGTGAGGGAGGTACCTTAGAGCAAGTACCGCCATGTCTGTTTTAGCCAGAATGTCCTCCCAGTTGGCAGTGGCAGCTCCTCGTACCTTACGTAGTAGCTTGGGCTGAAATTTTTGTGTGGAGAGGCCGGGGAGGGGTCGCCCCCATGCCGCCAATTGTCGCTCAATTTGCAGAAACAACTTTTTTTTATATATTTTTTATATTTTTTCTTAACCCACCCAGACAACGCTTCCCCTCCACCACGAACCACAACGAGCACATCCACATCCACCACGACGGAATCCCTCCCGGAGCTTCAAAATTGACAGCCTACCTTTCCACGCCGAAATCTTTCTTCGGTTGTGCGACCTGCAAACCTCGTCTCTCAACCCGACGGAAACCTCATGATCAATACACAAACCTAGTACCTTGCGACGGTCATCTTCCTACTGGTGGCATTCACGCTGCCCCTCGTTCTGCGACTTCAGCCAATTTCTGGCCATCTATGAACCAAGTCGACCTCCTCCGCTTCCTCTCCAAGCCCGCAAAGTAAGCCCTTTACTCTCCTCTTGGGTTCCTCGGTGGAAGTATCATCCATCGCATGCTCTATCTACTGATCGATTCAATCCGACAACCATTGACTACCTTCATAATATCGGCGCATCCCGCTAACGTTTCCCTTCCCTAGGCCCAGATAACACCTGCTTAAACACTAGGCACCAAACACTTCCATAGAAGCATCGCTCTTCTACTAGATTCCGTTTCTCACCATCCAACCGACTTCCCATCGCGCAGATAACCTCGTCTGCCGGGTCCGATACTCCACCACAGGTATCGGTTTCTGCCAGAGCGAGGCCCTACAACAAGACACAATTCCGATCCTTAGGGTTATTTTCCTACCCCTCAACGCTCGACCTCCCTAACGTCCTCAAGTGACGTTGCACCTTCTATACACTGTTTGCTGCTGGCTCCGCCAGCCTCCAAAATTGTCCACCCTCCTGTGGGCCTACTCTCTCAAACGAACGCCGCAAAGTTCGTTTGAGCGGTAGCTAGTGTCCCGCGGACTTCTAGCCCTGTACCGGGAAAGTCATCAAACATCCAAGCCTACTCCTTCTCACGCGAGCTCCCGGGTTGCGCCCAAAGAGCTAGTCCTGCAGAAGATGGTCAACCCCTCCGTCCCCAACGACTACGCCCTCTCCCCGGCTGAGGCTACTCCTCATCTGACAATCAATCATGATGTCGCTGCTGACCTAGACTCCACCAACGCCTTTGAAGGTAATACGGCCTAAGCAAAATGACAAGCCTCTAATCCGACCGCTTGCTGACAGACATACTCTCTAGGCCCGGAGAAGCTCCTCGAAGTGTGGTTCGCCCCTGGCCCCGAGTCCCTCCCCGCGAGCGCCCAGCCCAATGGCCTGAAAGCCGTCTCCGCCGACACCTGGGTTACCATGCTCGACATGGTCAACTGCAAGATCCTCTCAGTCCTTGAGTCTGACTCTGTCGACGCCTATCTCTTGTCCGAGTCGAGCTTGTTTGTGTTCCCCCACAAGCTCATTCTCAAGACCTGCGGCACGACCACTCTCCTCCTGGGCTTGCAGCGACTCCTCCACATCGCGGCTGAATACGCCGGCTTCCCGTTCCATAACGCCAAGGAATCCACCAACGTCAAGGCTGCTGCAACCCCCTACCGAGTCTTCTACAGTCGCAAGAACTTTTTATTCCCTGACCGTCAGCAGGGTCCCCACCGAAGCTGGAGATCCGAGGTCAAGTACTTGGATGACCTGTTCGAGGGTGGCAGTGCCTACATGGTTGGCAAAATGAACGGCGATCACTGGTACCTCTATATTACCACGCCGAACAAAACATTGACGCCCCCTAGGACTCCTGACGAGGCAGAAGAAGCTGCTGCATTCGCCGCCAGGATTCCCACAGGTAGCGTGGCCAGTTTCAGCAGCGGCTTCGAGGAGCGCAGTGACGAAACTCTTGAAATTCTCATGACCGATCTCGACCCTGAAAATGCGAAGCAGTTCTACTTGGCGGACGCGAGTGCGGTCGCTACCGACAAGTTGCACTTGCCGCAGACACAGGCGGCTCGGGACGATGCCCACCAGAGTTTGGGTGACATGTCTCAGGTTCATGACAGGGCGGGCGGCGAGGACCATGTCGACGTCTTTGAGAACATCGGCGAGTCTGACTTCAACGATGGCGAACGTGCCGCCACTGAGGCTCTGACAACCGAGGGTCACGCGATTGGTACTATTGTTTCCGAGGGATGCGGTCTCTCCAGCGTGTACCCAACCAGCAAGTATCCCGGAGCTCGCGTCGACGCCTACCTCTTCAGCCCTTGTGGCTTTTCCGCCAACGGTGTTGTTCCTGCCATTGCCGACGAAGACGATGACTCGAAGAATGAGAAGGGCGGAAATGCTGCTCATTACTTCACTGTCCACGTCACCCCGGAGCCCAACTGCTCATTCGCCTCTTTCGAGACCAACGTCCCTGGAGGCCAGAGTGGCCGTACCACAGCTGAGATCATCGAGCACGTCGTTGACATCTTCAAGCCTGGCCGCTTTAGTGTTACTCTGTTTGAGGCCAAGGGCAAGAGCGCCAACCCCTATGGCATGGGTGATTATGCTTCTCGTGCGACTGCCGTTCAGCGTCTCGTTGACCCTGTCCGCGGGTACCGTCGCATTGATCGCATTGTCCATGACTTTGAGGATTACGACCTCGTCTTCCGCTTCTACGAACGGGATGACTGGGCTGGCGACCGTGAGGCTCGCCTTGGAGAGGAGATGTGAGTTGCCCTCCATGAGGCGTTGGCTATGTTTCTATTCTTCGAACGCGTGATGCATCTAGCCATAGTCTGTCCGGTAGCCATCCCGTCCAAAAACGCTCGCTATATATCACACACATATCTTTGCAAGGTATTTTTATAGTCAGATACTGTCAATCTTTGGATTTAGTTACAGGATTTGTTTCTGAAAACAGATTGTTTCGTCAATAAATCACGAATCAGAGCCCCCTACACGTCGTCCTACCCACGAGCTTTGTCACTTTATCTGACATCCTGGGCCTACTCCACTCATTGTCTGATATCTCAATCGACCTTGATCCCGATGCACTCGATTGCTGGGCAGATTTCTTCCACACTCAACGAGGCCGGCTGCAAGCCACAGCCATCCGGTTCAGCTACAAATTCTTGACCAGCCTCGGGCCGTTATTGACATGTCTACTGATATTGGCAAGGAGAAGCCCAGGCTTGAGTTGAGTCTGCCAACCACGCACAGTTTTCCGAGGCGTTTATGGCTGCTCAGTAGCAGCCGGGCTCTGGAATGCATCAGATCGATAGGCCTTTGAGTCCCGATGCAGCGGTGCTCCAGCCCACAACCACCCCAGATGGCCGTTGGCCCCTAGCGACCAGTGCCTCGATTTGTCTCGGGCTGGAATGTTGAGAGCCCACCCGCCACGCCAGCAAGTGCTGGCAGCCATCGCAAAGACACCAGCCATCCCACTTGAAGTGATATATGAACATGCTCAGAGAAGGATATCGGAGGAGAGGTGATTTGGACTCAAGCAACAGTCAAGCATCCGATCAACCCTCGCCGCCTTCTGCCATGGCTCCTTCTCTCAAAGGCGACGACACCGTCAGTGTCGTCGAGTCGTTGGAGACAAAGTCCTCCATGTCAGGAAGCGATGTTTCCACAAAATCCCCGCCCAAGCCTCTCCCGATTGTCATGATCGCGGTCATGTTCTTCATGATCGTCGCGTCCGGAGGAGGCCTTTGTCTTTCGGCTCTTCAGTTTCGGCCCTCAAAGACTGGCGAGCGTGACTGTCTCAGTCAGAGCTTCATCCTGTTTGGTGTAAGTGCTGCCCCCAATGCCTGTGGCTCAGTGGAATGCGGGCTAACAGTTCTTCACAGTCGATGATCTCCCCCATGTACGTGGTGCTACATATTATCGTGTCGTTCCGCAACTACCAGGTTGTCAAGAGGCAGTCACTGCAATCACCTTTGGTGTCATGGGCTGTCATTGTTGCCCGCTTGGGTCTCTTACTCTGGATTCCGGCCGTGATTCTTTCTTCGGTAGCTCTATCACATTACCCCGGCTTCGTGACACAAAGCCCAATTACTGAGCTGAATTTCTCAGTATCCGTCATCGGAATGTACGTCGCAGCCTGAAAATTCATGCATACAAAATGCGCCTGGGACTAACACTCTTCGACTAGCACTTGCAGCATTGTCGTCATTCTTGTCCTGGAGATTGCATCGCACCCATTCGAGTTGCCCTGCTTCAGACGGCGGAACACGGTCACTTGTCTAGTCAGCGCCTTCGAAAAGGATCTCAAGGACGAGGAAGCCAAGCCTGCAAGCCGGCCAAACAGTCGTCCTCCGACCCCTCCAGCCTACTATTATTTTCCCGCCAACCACCGACACACGATCCCGGCCCCAGCAAGAGCCAAACTCGTCCGCAAAGCCAGCTACCCCCGGCGCCGAGAGCAAATCCCACCCGTCCCGCCTATCCCGTACCCGCACCCGGACTCCCTCGGCATCATGCTCCCCATCGCAGAGCCTCTGCCTCCTCTTCCCGAGCTGGAACAGACTTCTGTCGCGCCGGCCATCAAGATCACCCCCGCCAACGCGCCCGAATGTCTCTGCCCCGGGAACGGTAAGCTCGCCCCGCCGGCGAACAAGGACAAGCCGTGTCCCCCTCCCCCCGGAACGGCGTGGGCTAAGGATTGGGAGCAGCTAGCCGTTGATACCGGCGTGCGACGAAACGGGTCATTGAGCGACTATGGGTCTACCGTCGGAACGGATACGCTTGATGGAAGGTTCGATACCCGCGGAGTTGCGTTGAAGCCGCCTCTGCCTTCGATCATCGTCACACATAGTCCAGAGCAAGTCTGACAGCCGAAATGTTGTGGAAAAGTTGGATAAAGTTCCTTCCTTTGACTTCTGTACTATTTGGTTGTCTGGATAAGGCGAGGTTATGGATTACGGGTCATGGGTAACGGATTACGGATTATGGGTTATGAGCAGATGAAGCGTTTTTTTCTGTTATCTTTACGAGTCGTCTTGTTGGGTTTCCTTTGTAATGAATCTCAGTTCCATTTTCTCGAACACTGTCCTCGTACAATCTTTTGAGAGCCTGGTGATGATCTTCTTCCTGGGATCGAAGTTATGCTCCTCACAAGTCTGACGCCTTACAGCCACTTGCATGCTATATTCCCAAATTTCGTCTAGTGGCTTGGCTTCGTATCTCGTGTATGCCGAAATGGTGCTGTGGAACACTCTCCTGGTCGCTCAGCCACTCCATCGCAATCCTTGTCTTGGCTTCGTTTTTCGCATTCTGTTGAAAACATCTGACGCCCGAGCAAGCAGGCCAGTCATCCCGCGCGGGAGGTCATCGCAGGCTCCGTAGTGAATAATGTGACGATCTGCAAAATACGTCAGATGCCCAATATACTCGGAAAAGCAGACTCGCTAGAGTTGGACGAGGCCCTCCATGCTTCTGGTTCATGATCCTGTACCAGGTAGTCGTGGAGGCTGTTGGGTGGATAACGAAGAGTATATAAACGAGGTCACAGCATCAAGCACATTATAGCCGTTCTTATACTTGATTCCATTCTTTGACTCCTCGATCTCTGCACTTCATAATACAATCGATCATCAGAAAGGAGATCGAGCAGGTTCCTTCGCCTGCGAGTTTCAAACCATGAAGATCCAGAAGTTGCTTCTTCTACCTACTGTCTCCTCGGCCACATCGACGGGCTTTCCTACAGCCACGATATCCTCAGGCCCGATCCAAGGTATCTCGACGAGTCACCCAAACGCGATATCTCTAGTAAACAAGATTCTCGGAGTTCCCTATGCTACTATACCTGAGCGATTCTCCTTACCTCACCCGCCGAAGCCATGGATAAACACTTTCAAGGCCACGGCATTCGGGCCAGCAAGTCTCCAAAACTTTGGCATTAACGGCAAGATACAACTTCATTTAACTGCTTTCCTGCCTGCTGTACTGACTTGATGTTTCTCCCAAAAAGCTTGGCCCAAGACCTGAAGTCCTCCATCTCTTCAATACCCCAGCACCACCTGAAAGTAAAGATTGCTTGAGCATCAATATCTTTGCCCCCGCAACTCGATTGCCGGGCGATGGACTTGCGGAGGTAGTCTTCATCCCTGGCGGCGGATGACAACTGGGTCACGGCAGACTCGATCTTTCTGCTTTTGCGGCATATGAAAACATCATCGCCGTAACTCTCAGCTACCGCACAAATGGTAGGATACGTCCAATCTACAATGATCATCATCTACACAGGCATGTATCCTCTAGAGCTAACGCATGTTCTCTATAGTCTTTGGCTTCCCTGCTTCACCTGAGATCCCACTGCCGGAACCAAAACCTGGGTTTACACGACCAGCGTCTCGCTCTCACTTGGGTACAAGAAAACATCGCCTCCTTTGACGGCGACCCGTCCAAGGTTACAATCTGGGGCCAGTCCTACCTCGAAGCCTACGCCAACGACACGCTAGTCCCATTTCGAGCTGCAATCATATCCAGCGGCCAGATGAGTTTCGGAGATCTCGCCCATCCACCGCCCGGAATCGATGCCTAGACGGGGCTTTCGCGTTCAGTCGGGTGTGTCAACGTGACAGATGAACTAAGATGTATGAGGGCCGTTCCAGCGGAGAATCTAATCAGCGCCATGCGAAAGTATCGCATCACTTTCGGATCACAATTCGATAACGTGACGGCCCTCAGCAAGCCGAGTGATCTCTGGAGAAACGGGATCGTCGTCAGAGTTCCTCTTCTGACGGGCGCAGTGGAGGAAGAGGGGCGTGGGCTGGTCAATGACAAAGTTAACATGACGGCCTTGTTCAATGCATATCTTCCGCCGGCTCTGATATCATCCGAAGACCTGTAGACGATTGTCTCCTTGTATCGCTCTGATACCCGAGTCAAGAATGACTTTGATATTGCTTCGGCCATTGGAACTGATTTGCCCTGGTCTTGTGTACGTTTTCTACTCAACCGAACCTCCCCAAAACTTGAAGTCACTGACGAGCAGGCGCAGCCCCAATCCACCCTTGCCTCAATAGCAGCCTCGAATAATATCTCTACCTGGCGCTATCACTTCAATAGCTCCATTTCAAATCTCTTCTCTAAAGAGTACGACTGGCTAGGCAAATTTCACGGCTTGGAGATTGTTCTTCTCTTCACCGATCCGGATACCACACCTTACACCCCTCAGACATATGCAGTGTATGAATACTTCAGGGGCGTCGTTGCGCGCTTTCTGAAGAATCCTTCCGCAGGTCCTGGGTGGCTGGCCGTGGGGTCGTCTTATGCTCCAATCGACGTCGCGGTTCTGGGGGATGTGGGTAATACCTCGAGCGTCAAGACGGTGTCGAATTCTACAGCCATGAATGAGAGGTGCAAGCGTTTCGACATGACATGGCCCAAACTCGACGTTATATATCGCCATGCTCACTCTCATAGACATCGATGAACTTGGTTCGTGCAGATATATTCATACCGAATCTTTTATTATTTGACAACTCCTAGCCAACCCCCCCCCCCCCCCCCCCCCCCCCCCCCCCCCCCCCCCCACACCCCCCCCCCCCCCCCCCCAAGCCATCTAGTAACTTTGTTTGCTCATATATTTTCATCCCCAATTTTTTTTTTTTTTCCCACCCCCCCCCCCCCCCCCCCCCCCCCCCCGGAAGCGCTCAAGCAACTTAGCTCACGACACAACCCTCACCATGCTCCCAGCCTCCCCCTTCTCAACCGCCTCCACTCTTGGCCCAATCTTCCTCCAAATCTCCTCGGCAACATCCTCAAGCGTACCCCCAGCATCGACCACAACCAAATCCTCCTCCTCTTGCCGAAACTCCCGATCGACCCTGCCCTCCTCGCCCAGCCCACCATCAGGCCCAACGCGCCCCAGGCTCAGGCCCCAAAACAGCTCGCGCACCCGCTTCTGGAACTCGGCCTTTTCGTACACTTCGCCGCCCCAGCCCCCGCGCTCCCGGGCGACGGCCTCCTCGAGGTCGAGGAACAGGACGAGGTCCGGTCGGGGGAGGCCGATTTCCGGTTGACGCGCCCAGTGAAGGTTCAGGGTGGGGTTCTGTTTTGCGGCGGAGTAGACGATGCCCGAGTGGTAATACCTGTCGCAGATGACGGTGTATCCTGACGCCAGGAGATTTTGTATGTTTTTTCTAGACAGGTGTAAGCTTACTCAGATATAATGATGTACGGGAAAGGGGGACGACTTACACTGCTTCCCATCTGTTCGCGCTAAAGAGAAGGTGGATGACGTGGTCTTCCATCTCGACTGAGCTCTTGAGATAGGCATCAATCATTTGACCAATAGGCGTTGTTCTATCTAGAATATGAGTTGAATTAGTGACAACAGTTGATGCGTCATCCATATACAAGTATGGGAAGACCATCGTTGACGTTACAAAAGCTGGATACATACCCGGAAACCTCATAACCTTGACCTTCTTCCCCTCTTCAATCAACCGCTGTTCAAGCAGCTTCACCTGCGTGGTCTTGCCACTCCGATCAAGACCTTCAAATGCGATGAAAGTCCCGCGGACGACACCCGCCGGCGGTGTGGTGACGGGGAGAGCATCACCGGCCTGTCCGCCGGTTGCGGCCGACGTCGCTATTGCCGCCGTGGCAAGGTCATTGATCGATGCCATTGAGTCTCGATGTTCCGTTTGACAGTGAATCCCGGTGCTCCAATCGCAACTTCTATGGTCCAATGAGCGGATATGAGTGCGGGACACTGCGATGGTGTGAGACGCGAGTGTCGCCGAGTGGTGCGGTTCTGGGTGCGAAGGTGTAATGAAGTGGACACATGCGGGCCGAGTGGAGCCCCGGAATACGGGCGTTGGAACGACCGGGTACCTAGGGTGAGGTGAGCGGCTGTCACGTGGGAGCACATCGCGGACCAACGACACCAGATTGCCCATCTTGAAGCACCCGGATGGTGCGAGGGATGATGTGACGATGGATGGCAGTGTCTTTCGTAAATGGGCTACACGGTTGCATGGTCAAAGTTGTTGGCCAAGAGGCATGGTGGGCGTGGTGACAAAAAAGGCTCCAAAACATTGCAGAAATAATAGCTTCAATAGTGCTCTATTGATAAGGACATCAATCGCTCAAACACAATCAAACAATAGCAATACTCCGAACCCAGCTTTGTACAAAACAAGACACCCGAATCCGTTGTTCCTACACCAAGAGTGTCCCAGGGTTCCCCGTCGCTTAGTCCTTGCTCGTCCATCCGAAATCCCGAATAACCGTTGCAAACGCCGCATTCATCATGGACCCGTAATTAAAAGATGGTAAATAGTTGGAAGCGAAGCATAGTCGAGTCAAATGACCAAAGTGAAGCACGCCATCATCAGCATTCAGCAACCACCACCTCTGATTCATCTTTGGCGCTTCCACTTTCCCACAGCTCAAAGCTCTCACCGGTGCCCTCCATAGGCTCCAAGAGCGCAGCCTTGGCCGCTGTCTCTGTAGATTTGCCCATGAGCTCGTCTACACCTTGTTGTTCCAAGGGAACCTCGAGCGGGGCTGCTATGAGTTCCGGAACAGGCTCTTTGAGTTCGGGCACTACGGCTTGGGGGGCCACCTCGCTCTCCTCCTCTTCCTCTTCGTCGGCGGGGACGATAATGATCGATGACTCGTCGCAGCCAAACGCATAAAACTCGCTGGCATCCATCTCGCCCAGAGCTATCCTCTCCTTTTCAAAGATCATCTCGTCCTCGCTAGTACGACGAGCAGAGCGACGTGCAGATGTCTGGCTCACATCATCGACAGGCGGCACATTTTCCTTGTCACGACCCTCTGCGCGGTCCCTGCTGGCTTTGCGTTCACTCTCCTCATCAGAGCTTATGTCGAGGACACATGTGCCGTGCTGGAGCATGTTGGTCATTTCCTGCTCTGGCGTATCCTCATGGATATCAAAGAACCAAGATGCCTTCAAATCAGGCTCGTCAACAAGGTCCTTCACGGCATTCCGCGAGGATGTGGCAACAGTAGAACGGGCAGCATAGCTCGGGATAGTCCCCTTGAGAGCAGCATCGAGGCTGAATGGTGCCGAGGAGGATGAAGGGAGGTTGAAGGCAGGCGGATCTACGCGCGTGTAGGGGCCAGCGGTTCTACGACGGTTTGAAAGGATGCCGGATCTCTTGCCGCGAGTTGGCGAACGACCAGCGGGAGCTGAGAGTGGGGAGGACTTGGCGATAGCCGTATTGATCTTAGCTGAGGGCGATTTGGGCTGGAGTAAACTGCGAGGGCGAGGTAGGGTAGGCCTTGAGGAGTTCAACATAGGGCTGGCAGCAAGAGGCGCGGCCTTGGTTAGGACGAAAGACGAGGGCTTAAGGACATCCTTTGACGGGTAGAAGGTTTCGGAGCTCTTAGATCGCTTGGAGAAAGCAAACGGGTCGACATTTTCGCAATCGTCGGTTTCTACGCTCTCTGAAGCTTTGCGCTTACCGCCAGTAGCTGATGGAGCAGCTGTTGGAATTATTAGCTACCATTTGCGCAAGGATTTTGGACATGTTTGGGGCAGGTGCTCGAGTTGGTGGTTTAGGCGCATTCTAGCGGTATGGCGGGCTGATGTCGTTGAGAGAGCCACATGCAGCGCCCGCCGTGTTGCGAGTACACAATATGAGAACATATGAATTGCATGGAGGGAAACGGGCGTGCTTAGTCGTGGTTTGTTCAAACATACCATTCTGTCTATTCTTAATGCTCGTCAGATTCTGCAGTCGGGTGCCGTCGAGGGGCGCAAAAGGTTGACGTGAAATGGACGCCATCGTGTGTGGATCGAAGCGGTTGTGCGCGCAACAGGGCGAGTGGATGTGGTGTTGTGGTTCCGCTGTGCGGTGCGATGGGGTGCGGTGCGTCGGGAATGGGGGCAGCCCAGCCAGCGGCTTTCAGTTTGATGCCTGGGTCCCAGTTGCTCTGTGATCGACAGTCGGCTCGATTCGTGGAGAATGGGGACTCGTGAGTGAGTTCCTGCGTTCCCTCGTCGGTAAATTCCCTGGGAAAGCAAGTCGGTGCCAGACAGACTCGACGGTGTTGAAGCTTTGGGGGCGGCGGTTAGGCGTGCAGTGGAATAGCGTAGCGAGTGTGTGTATTCGTTGTTTATTTGTTGTTCTCTCCCGCGCAGTGGAATCGAGAAAGTTGGTTGCAGGAAGAGAGTGATCGAAACGCAGTCGACGAGCTGGCGTGGGGTGGGAAGGGGGGATAGAGAGAGAAAAGAGTGCGAGCGAGGTGAGCGTCGGTAGGGAGCAGGGATTACTCTAGGCTGAGAATGAGATGCGGTCTCTCTTGAGTGGGAGAGAGAGACGCGGAGAGGGCGCGCGCACGGAACCGGGGGTGGGATAGAGAAGGGCGTGTATCGGTAAGGCCTGGGTTTGGGTCCTGCCGGGGCCTGGTCTTGGTCGTGGGTTCGACAAGTGATAGCGCAACTACGGAGCAGCAGAGTAGTCTGGCGGTATCTGTTGGACGGATGCCGATGGAGACGGTAGCAAGCGGCGTTGGTCGCTGAATGCAAGGCCCTGGAGCCAAAAAAGTGGTTTGAGGTTGAGC